AATTTCAACGTTTTTATGTCCATTATTTCTCTCCATACATGATCAGCCATGCCTAATTTCAACGTGTTGATTTTCACTATTTTTCCTCCATACATGATCAACCATGCCTAATTTCAACGTATTGATTTTCACTATTTTTGATTTTACATATATAGCCATATCTATTTTCAATCCAAAATTGATTTTCACTATTTTTCCTCCATACATGATCAGCCATGCCTAATTTCAACGTATTGATTTTCACTATTTTTCCTCCATACATGATCAGCCATGCCTAATTTCAACGTATTGATTTTCACTATTTTTCCTCCATACATGATCAGACGTGCCCAATTTCAACATGTTAATCTCGACTATTTCAATTTCGTACATAGCCATCCATGCCTAAATTCAACTTTTGCTGTTCATTATTTTTCTCTACTTAAATGGTCAGACATGTCTAATTTCAACTTTTCTCTCACATTTCGATGTCTTCTCCATATTTAATTTTAGGTAGGGGTGGTCTTATCATCGTACGTCTTGCCACATATTACATACTTACAGTACTCGGTCATGTTTTCTTCCGAGGGGTGATGTTTTGGAGAAAGGTTGGAATTGCTTTTGAGTCCCGTTCTGATGTTCTACAGGGTGGCCACTAAAAAACCGAAGGGTTTGAAAAAGTCATAACTTGTTCGTTTTCAGTTTTTTCTTTTTTATTTGGAGATTATTGAGGATACCTTTTTATTAGGAAATATATACAAAGAGAGTCATAGATAGATAGATGAATTTAGATAGATAGATAGATAGATAGATAGATAGATAGAATTTAGATATATACAAGTTTAAAATTTGAAGCACCACCCCAGAATTAGCATGGGAGGAACTTAATAGAAATGAAAAATTTTATTTTTGCTTTTTTATATGAAATTCCCTGTAGTTTCTGTTTAAAAACAGTTCTTTGTTTGTGAATATGTAGCGCCAGACAACGAGGTTCGAAAAAATGTGGTCTCCCCCAAGATCCACAGGCTTCAATCACTTTCACGCTTTTGATCATTGGCCTGAGAACGAGGTTGTATACAGCTGACAGTTTAGATATTTCTGAACGAGTTGGGCGACATACATGACATCCATATGAAAAACTCGATCTGACGAGGTTATTTAAGAACATGATTCGTGTTCTCAGGTTAATGTTATTGGTGGTGTTGAGCGAAACCTACACAAGAAGAGTCTTATTCTACGAAATGAAAATTATTTCCGACACTAAATTTGATCCATACACCGAGTTTCTGAATTATTTAACTAAATCCATATCCTGAATTTTTTTAATGATGGATTTAGGATGTGTCCCATTACTGTATTTCGTTCCAATTTCAGATAACAGTTCCTGGTTTTGGACGTGTTTATTTTGACTCGGAATACGAAACTTGCGAGCCGAGTTCAGGCCGGGGTTGTTGCATTCACTTTCACACAAATACTGTTGCGCATTCATTTATAAAAAAAAATAAATGAACATGACAAATTAACCTGAAAATATACATAGATAAACGCGTACTTAAGTAAAAAAGATAAATAAACACTATGCAGTGATTTATTTGAAAAGTTCTTGGTTCGTATCCTTTTTTTAGCCATTTCATCCCAAGCCAGACAATAAAGCCACTAAGACTCAAGGCGTTACTGAGTTTGAGAGAATATGAGAAAAAGAAAACGTTATTAAGAAGGGAGAATAATAAAAGAACAGATTTTAACAAGACAGATGATAACGATTGACATTGCATTTTAATATTTGAAGACCAAAGTTAACCGGAAAGCAAGAAGCTGGAACAGCGTTCCATAAACGAGAAAGATTTTCACAAATAAAATTATTTCAACCAATGTTAAATAAATAAACTTTTTTTTAATCGTTTAAAGCAACTAAGACACAGGGGGTTACTGAGTGTGAAAGAATAAGAAGAAAAAAAAAAGAAAAATGAAAAGAAAAAAGAAACATTATTAAGGAGCATAGACAATAGATGAAGAGTAACCAAGAAGACAGTAGATGATGATTGACACTGCATTTAATCTTGACTGGAAAGCAAGAAGCCGGAAGAAAGTTCCTATACATATATAAGCCTCAAAAAGTGTGAGAGAAAAACTGCTAGCGCAGCTTTATTTAATGTCTCTCTCTATATATATATATATATATATATATATATATATATATATATATGTGTGTGTGTGTGTGTGTGTGTGTGTGTGTGTGTTTATTAATGGGGTCCCCAAGCAAGGCAATGAAGTCAACACGGATAAACGCGTACGTTAAGTAAAAAGAAAAATAATCTTTATACAGTTATTTATTTGGAGAGTTCTTGGCTCGTATTCTTTTTTTTTTTTTAATCATTTCACTCCAAACCAGGCAATAAAGCCACTAAGACTCAAGGGGTTATTGAGTGTGAGAGAATATGATAAAAGAAAACATTATTAAGGATAGAGAGAACAATCAAAGAACAGGAATTAAGAAGACAGAAGATAACGATTGACATTGCATTTAAATTCTTGAAGATCAAAGTTGACTGGAAAGCAAGAAGCCGGAAGAGAGTTCCACAAGCGAGAAGTGCGAGAGAGAAAACTGCTAGCATAGAAATTACGGTAATATATAGCCTGTAAAATGTTGAGATCTTGCCGTCAATCTAGTACAGACAGGCAGATTTAGCTTTGGACCAAGCAGGCAGATTTAGCCTTGGCCCAGGCAGGCAGATTTAGCCTCGGTCCAGGCGGGCAGATTTAGCTTTGGCCCAGGCAGGCACATTTAGCCTCGGCCCATACTAAAAAAAGCAAATACTCTGTTTGACTCCTGAAAGCCAACTGACAGACTGACCACTTTCGCCCCTCTAAGAAGTGGCCATTATTTGACCCATGTCACTATTATTTGACCCATATCACAAACCTCATTCAGTAAAGCTCTACCCTGAGTGGCTCTTGAGCTTTGTATTAAGTGAACTTTAGCATATAAAAAAACAAGCATATTTCTGTTGCCTCAAGTCTGCTCCTCATCTATGAGGAAAATATCCATCATTCACTGCCATATAAGAGAATTGATTTTACATAGGAAAGTTGCTTTCTCTGTGAGAAAAAAAACTTTTCTTACTCGAATCTGTCATATATTTATTAGTCTACCATGCGTCCATTCTTAGAATATTGCTTCCATATCTGGTCTGGTGATTCTGCCATATATCTAGAGATCCTTGATAAAATCTGTTGTATAAGAGTAAGTGTCATTGCCAACATTGTGATTTGAAACTAGATCGCCAGTGAGTAACACGGGCGATTCTATTATTAAGTTGATCACGTGATCATAAAGGAAGTGAATAAAAAGGAAGTAGCGTGATGACTATACGATCACTGTTGACTTCTTGTCTATCCTCTATTGCTATACGTTCACCCTCTCTACTCTACTACTATACGGATTACGATTCTCTTCTGATCATTATACTATTTGGCAATTACTACTTGGACAAGTATTACTAGTGAGGATATTATTGGAAGGTGTTATTACTAGTTCCGGCGTCTACGAAGTCTCGAATATAATGAGCATTTTTGGAAGTGATAACAAGCTTTCGCTTGACACAGCAAAAGTGACACGCGAAGCTGTCCAACATCACAAAAGTGGCGACTAGTATTCGTAAGGAATCACGAAAATATCCAAAGAAGAATCTGTAACGCCATTGTCTTTTCCTGGCATCTCGGCTTCAGCCACTTTCCCACCGCCGTAATGTAGCTTCTCTGTACCTTTTCTACAAATATTTCCCTGGTAATTGTTCAGATGGAATTTCCTCTTTGGTAGTTAGACTTTATGAAGCACGGTGGTAGACTGAAATTAAAAAGGCAGAAGATTAACAATATTGCATTTGAATTCTTGAAGATCAAACTTGACTGGAAAGCAAGAAACCGGAAGAGAGTTCCACAAGTGAGAAGTGTGAGAAAAGAAACCATTAGTATAAACTTACAATTAAATCGAGCCATTTCAAACATAAAATGAGGAGAGCTTTCAACCAATTTAGTACTGCGCTTAAATTCATAGAATCTAGGTACTATAGAGGAGAGTTCCCCAGAACAATTACCATGAAAGTCTTTATAGAAAAGGCACATGCAAGCTCTATTATGGCAGCGAGAAAGTATCTGAAACTGAGATGCCAGTCAGGATCAATAATATTGCAGATTTTTTTTTTGGATTTCATCAAAATGTCAATCGTTATTTTCTGTTCTTTTTTTTAAATAAATAATTTAAAAATAAATAAATGAGGAGAGCGTTGCACCCCCAACCCCCAATCTAGTACTGCGCATACATTCAAAATGTCTAGGTACCATAGAGAAGAACAATTACCATGAAAGTATCTATAAAGAAGAACAAAAAGTAACGATTTACATTTAGAAATTCTTGATAAAATCCAAAGAAGAATCGGCAATATTATTGGTCATGACCTGGCATCACTCTCATCCCCACTGATGTAACGTAGCTTCCCTCTGCCTTTTCCATAAATACTTTTATGGTAATTGTTCTGATGAATAAAGCCACTAAGACGCAAGCAATGTTACAAAGTATGGGAAAAATACTGTAAAGGGGAGAGAACAAAAAAAAAAGAACAGGAATTAATAAGACAGAAGATAATGATTTGAAATTGCGTTTTAATTCTTGAAGATCAAAGTTGACTGGAAAGCAAGAGGCCGAAAGAGAGTTCCACACGCTAGAAGTGCGATAGAAGAAACTGTTAGCATAGAACTTACGGCTACATCTGGCCATTTCAACTGTAAAATGATGACACCTTTCTGCCAATCTTAAATTCGTAAAGTCTGGCTACCATAGAGAAAAGTTCACCAGAATATTTACCATGGAAGTATTTATAGAAAAGCCACAATGAAGCCAGGTTACGGCGGTGGAGAAATTGATTGAAGCCGAGATGCCAGTTCAGGATTAATAACATTGCAGATTATTTTACAGTTGGTAACAATAAAAGTAGAAGAATGAAAAAAACCGCGTGAACAAATCATAAAGTGATAAAGAAAAAAGAAGAAGAAGAAAAGATGAAGACAGAAACGTAAGAAATCGATAGAAAAGAAAAAGAAAGAGAAAAAGAAGTAGTATAAACGAAAGAGTGAGGAGGCAAAGGGTAGAAGAAAGGAAGGAAATGTTCTTCGGGAAATATAAAGAAAGAATGAAAGACAAAAATGAACGAACGAATTAAAAGATGAAGTGTAGAAAAAGAAAGAAAGAAAGCTTGTAAGAAAAGGAGTTCCGAAGAGGAAGTGAAGGAAAAGAAATGAAGATGGAAGAAAGGAAGAAAGGAAGAACAAAAAGGAAGAACAAATAAACAATTAGCGATTAAAAATATAAAAAAGAAAGAAAGAGAAAAGAAAGAAAAGAGCAGAGGAAAGCGAGTTTTGAAGGGGAAAATAAAAAAAAAGAGGACGAAGAAGGAAAAAGAGAAAGAAAGACAAAAAAAAGCTCTGAAGAAGAAAGAATGAATAAGAAAGAGAAAAAGAACAGGAAAAATGCAAATGTGAAAGAAAGAAAGAAAGAGGGAAAGAAAGAAAGCGAGCTCTGAAGGGAATAAAAAAAAGAACAAAAAGAGGAAGATCAGGAGATATGTTAATGAGAAATGTTAAAAGAAAGAAAAGAAAAGATTTTGTTTTGAAAGAAAAAGAAAAGAAAAAAAAGAAAGAAAAAAAAAGAAAGAAAGCGAGCTCTGAAGAGGGAATAAAAAAAAAAACAAAAAAGAGGAATATTCAGAGAAATGTTAATGAGAAATAAAAAAAAAGAAAGAAAAAAAAAAGAAAAGAAAGAAAGAAAGAGGAAAGAAAGAAAGGAACTCTGAAAGGGAAAAAAAAAGAAAAAAGAGGAAGATCAGGAGATATGAATACGAAAGAAAAAAAAAGAAAGAAAGAAAGAAAAAGAAAAAAAGAGGAAAAGAAAGAAAGAAAGAAAAAGGGAAAAGAAAGAAAGCGATCTCTGAAGAGGGAAAAAAAAAAGAAAAAAAGGATGATCAGGAGATATGTTAATTTGAAAGAAAGAAAGAAAAAAAAAAGAAAAAAGAAAGAAAAAAAAAAAAAGAAAGAAAGAAAGAAAGAATCTTTGCTCTAAAAGGGAAAAAAAGAACAAAAAAAGGAAGATCAGGAGAAAGAATTTTGAAAAAGAAAGAAAAAAAAAAGAAAGAAAGAAAGATCTGAAGAAAGAATAAAAATTTAAAAGAAAAAAAAAAGAAAGAAAGAGATATAAAAAAAGAAAGAAAAAAAAGAAAGAAAGAAAAAAGAAAGAAAGAAAAGCGAAAGAAAGAAAGGGAATAAAAAAAGAACAAAAAAGGATGATCAGGAGATATGTTAATGAGAAAGAAAGAAAGAAAGAAAGAAAGAAAGAAAAGAAAGAAAGAAAGAAAGCGAACTCTGAAGAAGGGAATAAAAAAAAAACAAAAAGAGGAAGATCAGGAGATATGTTAAGAAGAAAGAAAAAAAGAAAAGAAAAAAGAAAAAAAAAGAAAGAGGGAAATGAATTAAAAAAAAAAGAAGAAAAAAAAAAAGAAAGGATTAAGAAATGAGAAAAAAATAAAAAAGAAAAAAAGAAGGAAAGAAAGAAATGAATGATGTTAAAAAAAAAAAAAGAGGAAAAAAGAATAAAAGAAAGATGGAAAAAGAAAGAAAAAGAAAGAAAGAAAAGAAAGAAAAGAAAGAAAGAAAGCGAACTCTGAAAAGGAAAAAAAAAAAAAAAAAAGAGGAAGATCAGGAGATAAGAAAAAAGAAAAGAAAAAGAAAGAAAGAAAGAAAGAAAAGATATTAAAGAAAAAAGAAAGAAAAAAAATAAGGGAAGAAAAAAAGAACAAAAAGAGGAAGATCAGGAAATATTAAAGAAAAGAAAGAAAGAAAGAAAAAAAGCTTTGAAAATGTCTGAAGAGGGGAAAAAAAAAAAAAAAGAGGAAAAGAAGGAGATATGTGAAATTGAAAAGAAAAAAAAAGAAAAAAAAAAAGAAAAGAAAAAAAAGAAAGAAAAAAAGAAAGAGGAAAGAAAGAAAGCGAGCTCTGAAGAGGAAATGAAAAAAAAAGAACAAAAAGAGGATGATCAGGAGATATGTTAATGAGAAAGAAAGAAAGAAAAAAAGAAAGAAAAAGAAAAAGGAAAAGAAAGAAAGAAAAGAAAGAAAAAAGTTGCTCTGAAGAGGAAAAAAAAAGAAAAAAAAAGGAAGATCAGGAAATTTTTTAATGAGAAAGAAAGAAAGAAAAAAAGAAAGAAAGAAAGAAAGAAAGAAAGGTCTGAAGAGGGAATAAAAAAGAAAAAAAAGAGGAAGATCAGGAGATATGTTAATTCAAATTAAAAGAAAGAAAAGAAAAGAAAAAAAGAAAGAAAGAAAGAAAGAAAGAAAGAAAAGCGAAACGGAAGGGAAAAAAAAAGAAAAAAAAGAGGATGATCAGGAGATATGTTAATGAAAGAAAGAAAAAAAAAAAGAAAAAATTTAAAAAAAGAAAGAAAAGAAAAGAAAAAAGCGAACTCTGAAGAGGAAAAAAAAAAAAAAGGAAGATCAGGAGAAATGTTAATGCGAAAGAAAAAAGAAAGAAATAAAGAAAAAAGAAAGAAAGAAAAAAAAGAAAGCTCTGAAGAGGGAATAAAAAAAAGAAAAAAAGAGGAAGATCAGGGAGATATGTTAATGAAAAGAAAGAAAGAAAATTGAAAGAAAGAAAGAAAGAAAAAAAAAAAAATCTGAAGAGGGAAAAAAAAAAAAAAGGAAAAATCAGGAGATATGTTAATGCGAAAGAAAAGAAAGAAAGAAAAAGAAAGAAAGAAAAAAAAAGAAAGAAAGAAAGAATAAAAAGAAAAAAAATAAAAAAAGGAAAAATGAGGAAGAAAGGAGAAATGTTAATGCAAAAAAAAGAAAAAGAAAAAAGAAATAAAATAAAAAAAAGAAAGAAAGAAAGAAAGCTCTGAAGAGGATTTAAAAAAAGAAAAAAAGAGGAAGATCAGGAGATATGTTAATGAAAGAAAGAAAAAAGAAAGAAAAAAAAAAAGAAATGTCTGAAGAGGGAATAAAAAAAAAAAAAAAAAAAATCAGGAGATATATTAATGCTTAAAAGAAAGAAAAAAAAAAAAGAAAGAATGAAAGCGAGCTCTGAAGGGGAAAAAAAAAGAACAAAAAAAGGAAGATCAGGAGATATGTTAATGCGAAAGAAAAAAAAGAAAGAAAGAAAAAAGAAAGAAAAAAAAAATAAAGGTCTGAAGAATATTAAAAAAAAAAAATAGGAAGATCAGGAGATATGTTAATGCGAAAGAAAGAAAAAAAAGAAAAGAAAGAAAAAAAAGAAAGAAAGAAAGGTCTGAAGAGGGAATAAAAAAAAAAAGAGGAAGATCAGGAGATATGTTAACAAAAAGAAAGAAAGAAAGAAAAAAAAAAAGAAAGAAATTTCCCCAAAGAAAGAAAGAGATCTGAAGAGGGAATAAAAAAAAAAAATCGAAGACCAGGAGATAATTTAATTTAAAAAAAAAAGAAACAAAAGAAAGAAAAAAGAAAGAAAGAAAGAAAAGAAAGAAAGAAAAAAAAAGCTCTGAAGAAAGAATAAAAAAAAAAAGAAGGAAGAAAAAAATTAGAAGATCAGAAAAAATCATTTTATAAAAAAGAAAGAAATATTTAAGCAAAGAAAAAGGAATCCGGAAAAGAAGAAAAAAAAAAAAGAAATGAAAGGAAAGAAAGAGAAAGAGAGAAGAAAGAGAGAGGTCAAAAATGATTCAAAAAAAAAAAATGATTTATTTAGACGAAGATAAGTAAAAAAAGAAACTGAGAACAATCGAAAAGGTTTAAAAGAAAAAAAAAAATATTTAAATAGAAAATGGAGGAAATAAATAAAGTCCGAAAAGAAAAGACATTAAACTGGGAAAACAGTAAATTATTATAAGATGATTAAATGAAAACTGAAAACGTCTGTTTACAGTGACATGAATTGATTTCCTGCCACCTGGTGATCATCAGCGTAAAACTGAACTTACCGAACTAATAGATAGAAAAAAAAAAAAAAAAATAAAAAAAAAAAAAAAACAAAACCCTGTCAAAAAGAGGGAAAAAAGAAATTTTAAAAAATTTTATTGGTTATTAATTACAGAAGCACTCAATATATTAAAATTACATTATTTACGCATTGATTTTTCCTAAAAAAAAACTTAAAAAGATGCTTTAAATTAAACGATTCAAATAAGAATTGTAATGTCCAACATTCTCCTGGTTTTTAAAAAAGATCTGTGTCACCAGGAACTTAAAATTTCTTCAGGGCTGTCCCGGATATCCAATAACGATACATTGTTTTGTTTTTTTTTTTTTTTAAACTTTCAACATCTGTCTATATTTTCGAGATGAAATATTGTAACTATTTAGAACTATTTACATTATTCAGGCTGTTGTCGTCATCTTTATTGTCATATTAAACTTTTCGGCCGTTGTACGTTCAGACTTTCTTCAAGGGTCTGTCTATATATCTGAAAATAAAGAAATTGTAAATATTTACACTATTTACATTATTCAGACTGTTGTCGTCATCTTTATTGTCATATTCACGACGTTTCGGCCGTTGTACGTTCAGACTTTCTTCAGGGTCTGTCTATATATCTGAGATGAGGTTTATTGTAACTATTTACACTATTTAATTTATTCAGAATTGTCGTCAATAAAATTTGTCATATTCAAAAATATACTTTGATTTGTACGCTAAAACCTTCTTTAGGATCTGTCTATAAAATTGAGATAAGGTATAAATAGCTATTTACATTGTTCGGACTGTTGTCCCTATCTTTATTGTCATATTCACGATATATTTATATACGCTGGATACTATTATAAATGGGTTGTAATATTTTATCTAAGTAGTCCACCATTAACAGTGGTTTACCTACTTCACGCCGCTAGCGAGTATTGTATTTTGTTGATGTTATAAAGATTACCATTTCATTTTAGTAGCATAAGTTCACTCAAATTAATTTTGTTAAAGATAAGAGACAACTCATGAAATATATTATTTTAAACAATTTTTATTTTGTTGATGTATTAATTGCTTATCTTATTGGTCAAAGTGTAAAGGAACAGTAAACAGCTCATATGAGTTCTTTCAATGTAGAAAAAAAAAAATTAAATAAAATAAAATGTCCATTTTATTGAAATATATTAAATCTCTTTTGGTTAATTTGAAATTTCAACTTTAGAATCTTTGTAAGTTTTAGTTTTGAAATTTATAATTGTCACATAAGCATAACGCAATGATGAATTGGAAATTGATTAAAAAAATTTTAAATGCCTGTTCTAAAATCTTTTTAAAAGAAGTTGTTATATACCATACCTATGAACACTAAGGGTTCATCCCAATCCTCATAAATAACGTTGGACACTATTGTAATCATAGGAGTAATATTCTAAAATAGTGCACCACTAGCAGTGGTTTACTTACTTCACATGTCGCTGGCTCAGTATTGTATTTTATTGATGTTATAAAGTTTACCATTTCATTTCCAACCTCCGTTTTGATTATTCCTCATTCAGTAACCTTTCTAGGTGAACAAAAAAATTTTATATTAATAAAAAGGCACTGGGAAGCTACGTTACAGCAAATAAAAATATCTGATGCCGAGACGCCAGGTCAGGATATAATAATTATATATATCCTTCTTTGGATCTTATCAAGGAGCTTCAGAATAAATAAAAGTAAATAGCAGGGGAACCAGACCATATATAGCAACAATATTCTAAGCATGGACGAATAGTAGACTTATAGATATGTAAGATAGATTCTGGAGAGGAAAACTGTCTATCACGACACAGTGAACCAACTTTCTTAGCAGCTGACCTAGCAATTGATTCAGTATAGTCTTTCCACTTCATGTCAGCTGTATCGAATTCTGTTTGTGTTATATACCGTACCTATGAACACTAATGGGTATGTCCCAATCCTCATAAATACGTTGGACATTATTGTCAGTGGGGATAATATGTTGTCTAAGTAGTCCACTAATAGAAGTGGTTTACCTACTTCATGCCGCTGGCGAGTATTGTATTTTGTCGATGTTATAAAGATTACCATTTCATTTCCAACCTCCGTTTTGGTTATTCCTCATTCAGTAACCTTTTCTAAGTTACAACAGTGATTTAATACCGAAATTTAAAAGAGCTTTGGTAATTTTTTCAAAAATGCATTGCTTGTATTTGTTTTCATTTTGAAAATGTAGTGCTGGTATTCTTATTGCAAGAATATATTTTTATACTTTCATAATGTTTTGACCCTAGTTTCGGGGGTTAACTATTTGCCCATAGCTGGGACCCTAAACAGGTTCTACCACCCCGATGTGGTTCTACGCTCCTCAAAACCTCCAATCTCCCAATCTGAGACCTGCCGGATGTAGTTTATCGTCGTACCCAGGATCACCTTGAAGGTATTGGTCTTGCTCGTCCTATATTGCACTGAAGGTATTCTTCTTCTCAGTTAAATTCTGCTTCAAATTAGATTTCTTTCAATAATTATTCTAATCAAAAATATGCGAACGCTAAGTAGCGAAAAAAAAATATTGTAAAAAAAGCCGCTATATTTTTTCTTCGCAGGAGCCAATCACAGACGTTGCTGCTAAAGCAATAGCATGACAAAAAAAACGCTGAGTCATGATTCATCCCGGTTGCTTTAAGAACGCCTCTTACGACACTGTCAGAGTCGCATCCAATATGTCAACGTCACCATCAGTGACCTCAGTCAGCCGACCCAAAACATGCATCAGCTGCAGGCCCTACTGACTCTCCCCGTTCTCCAAGTCGATTCCCTAATACACAAAGCATTATTCATTATATTTTATTAAAAATAAAAAAGTTCTTTTCTTTTCGCCTCGCCGATGATACGATACGAGCGGTTATAACATTCCATCATTACGGCTACATCGGATGTTTCGAAATGCTTTTGATACTGTTTATCATCCGAAATCATGGCTTTGTTTCATTCTGTAAGGCCATGTTTAGTTGAAAGTAACTTTGAAAAACTCTTCGAACATTCTCCCTCTTCTCTTAATCTTTTGGGGTTATATTTGATCTGCTTGGGTTACTATCTTCCACATTTTTGTTATATTGGTCGTGTTGCGTTTTTTAATTTTTTTTTTTTTTTTACTAAAATTCACTCGACAAGAATCAAGAGCCACTCAAGATAGAGGGATACGGAATAAGTTCCACTCGATCAGCTTCTTCCCACGAACCACTGCTATGTTTTTTTTAAGCATTCACCTCCCCCCCCCGGGCAACGCAGGAGTAACACTAGCACGCAAGGAGTTACAAAGAGTGAGAGCAGGAGTAAAGAGGGGCGTTTAAGGATATAGAGAAGGACGGGGGTCAGGATCAAGGCATCAGAAAATGTTGATTGACATTACATTTCTTTTGTGATGTCAACGAATACTTGTTGCCACTTTCGTAATGCTCGGTGTAGTAGAGACTTTGTAATCGCAGATACAACTATAGTAACGCTGTTGAACAATACTGGTGTCAGACGCCTTCGAATAACACTCGCACTAATAGTTCTTGCTCGATAATACTCGCTCGACAAGTAACCACGGAATAGTGATCCGAATAACAATCCGTATAGTGAGATATTCCCACGAGGCCGGATGCGACAAAAGGCCAAGTTTATTGTGGGGGTATCCGATCCCGTAGGCTCGGGCAAAAATTCCCCGTAGACCCCGTAAAAAACAGGGTCGGGTAGCTGTTTACCACCCCAGACAAGACTCTACCCTTCGGCATGGTCTCGTCTGGGTTCATCTTTGCCCAAAGGGAGAGAGTTCGACAAGCACACCTCAGAAGTATTTCGGAGAGTGAGATATTCACCTACCGCCCCACTCGGTCGGATGTGGCACAAGGCCGAGTTTATTGTGGGGTTTCAGAGCCCGTAGGCTCGGGCAAAAATTCGCCGTAGACCCCGTAAAAAAAACGGGGTCGGGTAGCTGTCTACCACCCGAGACGAGACTCTGCCCTTTGGCATAGCCACGTCTGGATTCCCAGAGGCAGAGAGTTCGACGAGCACACCTCCTAAGTAATTCGGAGAATGATCCCTTAGACACTACGCTAATTCTCATATATACATTTCCTTTGCCATCACGTGATTTACCTATTCAAAATGGGATCGCCTGTGTTTGCTCACTGGTGATCTGTGTTCAAACTCCAGTGTCGGCAGTGACACTTTATTCCTACATGGTGAAAATAAGTTTAAGACCGATGGTTAAAGTTTTATTCATTTCAGAATATGTTTCTAATAAAATAATATAAATTAGTTTTTATTATATATATATTTATGCAGAATTTATTTATATATAAATATATATAATTTATATTATATATATATATTCATGAATTATTCACACAAAAACAAATGCAAAGGTTAATGATTTAATTGGCGAGAAATCCATCGTCGCAAACAATTCAAATAATATACAAAAACCTCTGAATCCGTTATGAATGAAATGATCCTTGTTTCTATAAATTTCTGCCGTATTAGTTCTTATTTTTACTACAAGCTTTCGTCTGTTCCTACAGACATCTTCAGGTATAGAATAGATGTTGTTCTTGTTTTTTCTCTTAGTAATAAGAGGACAACGAAAATATATGTATTGTTGTATCCGAAAATGCTATTGGAAATGAGTTATTGTTTTTGGAGCGCGCAGTAGCAACGCTGAGTTTGATTTTAAATTTTTTAAAAGTTGTGCGTTCATATACAAATATGGTGATGAACGATTTTTTTACTGGTAAATTTTTCTGTCAAAGTGGCATGAACTAGTAAAAATAAGAATTAATACGGCAGAAATTTATAGAAACAAGGATCATTTCATTCATAACGGATTCGGAGGTTTTTGTATATTATTTGAATTGTTTGTGACGATGGATTTCTCGCCAATTAAATCATTAACCTTTGCATTTGTTTTTATGAATAATTCATGAATTTGTAAATTGATTGCACGTTTATCGTAATATATATATATATATATATATATATATATATATATATATATATATATATATTTATACAACTTGAAAAATTTAATTTATATTATTTTATTAGAAACATATTCTGAAATGAATAAAACTTTAATCATTAGTCAAACTTATTTTCGCCAGTGTATATCAATTTGAATATTTGAAGATTATAGCTACCAGGGAAGCAAGTAAGAGGAAGGGAATTCCACTGTTGGGAAGTGTGAGAGAAGAAGCTGTTGGAGTAGAAGAAGCGGTTACATTTAATTTTTTCGACAGTGAAAGGGTGGGACCGAGATGTCAACCTAGTAGCACGCTTAAATTCATGCATTCGGAACACCAGTGAAAGTAGCTCGTCAGAGCAGTTTCCTTGAAAATACTTGTAGAAAAGACAGAGGGAAGCCACGCCACGTCAGTGAGAAAGTGACTGAAGTCGAGATGCCAGATATTGGATGCTTGGATATTGTTGAGTAGAACCGAACCCCCAAGATGAGGCTTCTACGATCACTACAATGCTAATTAGTTTAAGTCTAGGGTTTACCGTCATTTTCTTCTTATATCCGCACAATTTGTGCCTAACCTTTTACCTAAACTGGCTCTTGGGCCTTCTATAGGGTAAACGTCTTTCTAAAAGCGAACAAAAAAAAAAAGAAAGACTATTAATTACTCGTAAAATAGTCATTTATGTGCATTTCGACGTAGTGCAATGGTTAGCAAACTTGTCTTGCTAGATTCCTACAACTGTCCATGGAATTTTCGGTATGCGTCTGTAGAACCACATCTCTTGTTTTTTTTTGAATTTTCGAACGTTCATCCATTTATAAAATATTATAAATATATATTATAAAATATATATATATATATATATATATATATGCAGGAACTGTCTAGTTTCCCCTTTCTAGTCTCGAAAGGGTCCAAAAGCGAGCAGCATCTTCCCATAAACCACTGCTCTGTGGAACCGACTCCCAAGAGGATGCTTCCCCGATTACTACAATCTTAAACTGTTCAAGTCTAGGTTTAACCACATCTCCGCATAAACTGTGCCTCTTATTTTGTAATTCTCTACCTCGAGTGGCTCTCGGGCCTTATAATAAAAATGTATTATAAAAATTGTCTCTTTCCCTTTAATTTTTATGTCACAATTATCTTTACAGCCGTTTCATTTACTTGATAGCTCAGAATCGTAAAATGATGCGTTGCTGGACTGAGTCTTCGAGCGGTTTTTTTTTTCTATCGTAACATGGCGGATGTTCGTTCTCTTGCTACTATCTTAATGACTAAAGAAGTAGACAGTATGCTCTCTAAAACCTTGGCGGAAAACAAATACATACCGGAAGCAATCTTTTTAAAGAGGTACTACCGTTAGGTGTCATGTGACTGGTCATAACCAACTTCCAGACCAATAGTGTTGAGTTGTCTTTCCTTTCCTTTCGACTTGGACCGGAAATAACAAATGTATCATTTTTTTTCTGATTTTTTGCCACTCAAGTTTATATAATCTTGAGATTCTCTTTTTTTCACCTCAATGCATTCTTATAGTATGCATTCAGACATGACAATAATTTTTTTATTTTCAAATTCAACAAAATCATTGGCATTTACAAATAAATAGTCCTTTTCTATCACTGTCAATGACAGACAGCACAAATGCATTGGTTCCTTCATTCATTTAGATGACAAACCTTCTTAAATTGTCAATATTTTAGATTACGAAGATCATTAGCAATGCAATTAGAATATAAAACCTATTCTATCAATATGTCAAAAGAAATTCCTGACGACGGACGAATCATTTTTTTTCTGATTGTTAATACATTTTTATAGTAAAATCATTAGCAATGCATTTACATTATACATATAATAGTCCTATTCTATCAGTAATGCTTGCATTCATTCCTGACCACTGACAATCCCTTTCTACCTGATTTTCAATGCATTCTTATAGTAAAATCATTAGCAGTGCATTTACATTATACATATAATAGTCCTATTCTATCAGTAATGCTTGCATTCATTCCTGACCACTGACAATCCCTTTCTACCTGATTTTCAATGCATTCTTATAGTAAAATCATTAGCAATGCATTTACATTATACATATAATAGCCCTATTCTATCAGTAATGCTTGCATTCATTCCTGACCACTGACAATCCCTTTCTTCCTGATTTTCAATGCATTCTTATAGTAAAATCATTAGCAATGCATTTACATTATACATATAATAACCCTATTCTATCAGTAATGCTTGCATTCATTCCTGACCACTGACAATCCCTTTCTTCCTGATTTTCAATGCATTCTTATAGTAAAATCATTAGCAATGCATTTACATTATACATATAATAGTCCTATTCTATCAGTAATGCTTGCATTCATTCCTGACCACTGACAATCCCTTTCTTCCTGATTTTCAATGCATTCTTATAGTAAACTCATTAGCAATTCATTTACATTATACATATAATAGCCCTATTCTATCAGTAATTCTTGCATTCATTCCTGACCACTGACAATCCCTTTCTTCCTGATTTTCAATGCATTCTTATAGTAAACTCATTAGCAATGCATTTACATTATACATATAATAGTCCTATTCTATCAGTAATGCTTGCATTCATTCCTGACCACTGACAATCCCCTTCTACCTGATTTTCAATGCATTCTTATAGTAAACTCATTAGCAATTCATTTACATTATACATATAATAACCCTATTCTATCAGTAATTCTTGCATTCATTCCTGACCACTGACAATCCCTTTCTTCCTGATTTTCAATGCATTCTTATAGTAAAATCATTAGCAATGCATTTACATTATACATATAATAGCCCTATTCTATCAGTAATGCTTGCATTCATTCCTGACCACTGACAATCCCTTTCTACCTGATTTTCAATGCATTTCTTATAGTAAAATCATTAGCAATTCATTTACATTATACATATAATAACCCTATTCTATCAGTAATGCTTGCATTCATTCCTGACCACTGACAATCCCTTTCTTCCTGATTTTTCAATGCATTCTTATAGTAAAATCATTAGCAATGCATTTACATTATATACATATAATAGCCCTATTCTATCAGTAATGCTTGCATTCATTCCTGACCACTGACAATCCCTTTCTTCCTGATTTTCAATGCATTCTTATAGTAAACTCATTAGCAATTCATTTACATTATACATATAATAGTCCTATTCTATCAGTAATGCTTGCATTCATTCCTGACCACTGACAATCCCTTTCTTCCTGATTTTCAATGCATTCTTATAGTAAAATCATTAGCAATGCATTTACATTATACATATAATAGTCCTATTCTATCAGTAATGCTTGCATTCATTCCTGACCACTGACAATCCCTTTCTTCCTGATTTTCAATGCATTCTTATAGTAAACTCATTAGCAATTCATTTACATTATACATATAATAGTCCTATTCTATCAGTAATGCTTGCATTCATTCCTGACCACTGACAATCCCTTTCTTCCTGATTTTCAATGCATTCTTTATAGTAAAATCATTAGCAATGCATTTACATTATACATATAATAGCCCTATTCTATCAGTAATGCTTGCATTCATTCCTGACCACTGACAATCCCTTTCTTCCTGATTTTCAATGCATTCTTATAGTAAAATCATTAGCAATTCATTTACATTATACATATAATAGTCCTATTCTATCAGTAATGCTTGCATTCATTCCTGACCACTGACAATCCCTTTCTTCCTGATTTTCAATGCATTCTTATAGTAAACTCATTAGCAATTCATTTACATTATACATATAATAGCCCTATTCTATCAGTAATGCTTGCATTCATTCCTGACCACTGACAATCCCTTTCTTCCTGATTTTCAATGCATTCTTATAGTAAAATCATTAGCAATTCATTTACATTATACATATAATAGCCCTATTCTATCAGTAATGCTTGCATTCATTCCTGACCACTGACAATCCCTTTCTTCCTGATTTTCAATGCATTCTTATAGTAAAATCATTAGCAATGCATTTACATTATACATATAATAGTCCTATTCTATCAGTAATGCTTGCATTCATTCCTGACCACTGACAATCCCTTTCTTCCTGATTTTCAATGCATTCTTATAGTAAAATCATTAGCAATGCATTTACATTATACATATAATAGTCCTATTCTATCAGTAATGCTTGCATTCATTCCTGACCACTGACAATCCCTTTCTTCCTGATTTTCAATGCATTCTTATAGTAAAATCATTAGCAATGCATTTACATTATACATATAATAGCCCTATTCTATCAGTAATGCTTGCATTCATTCCTGACCACTGACAATCCCTTTCTTCCTGATTTTCAATGCATTCTTATAGTAAAATCATTAGCAATTCATTTACATTATACATATAATAGCCCTATTCTATCAGTAATGCTTGCATTCATTCCTGACCACTGACAATCCCTTTCTTCCTGATTTTCAATGCATTCTTATAGTAAAATCATTAGCAATGCATTTACATTATACATATAATAGCCCTATTCTATCAGTAATACTTGCATTCATTCCTGACCACTGACAATCTTTTTCTTCCTGATTTTCAATGCATTCTTATAGCAAAATCATTAGCAATGCATTTACATTATACATATAATAGCCCTATTCTATCAGTAATGCTTGCATTCATTCCTGACCACTGACAATCCCTTTCTTCCTGATTTTCAATGCATTCTTATAGTAAACTCATTAGCAATTCATTTACATTATACATATAATAGCCCTATTCTATCAGTAATGCTTGCATTCATTCCTGACCACTGACAATCCCTTTCTTCCTGATTTTCAATGCATTCTTATAGTAAACTCATTAGCAATTCATTTACATTATACATATAATAGTCCTATTCTATCAGTAATGCTTGCATTCATTCCTGACCACTGACAATCCCTTTCTTCCTGATTTTTAATGCATTCTTATAGTAAAATCATTAGCAATGCATTTACATTATACATATAATAGCCCTATTCTATCAGTAATGCTTGCATTCATTCCTGACCACTGACAATCCCTTTCTTCCTGATTTTCAATGCATTCTTATAGTAAAATCATTAGCAATGCATTTACATTATACATATAATAGCCCTATTCTATCAGTAATGCTTGCATTCATTCCTGACCACTGACAATCCCTTTCTTCCTGATTTTCAATGCATTCTTATAGTAAACTCATTAGCAATTCATTTACATTATACATATAATGCCCCTATTCTATCAGTAATGCTTGCAAAATTCCTGACCACTGACAATCCCTTTAAAATTGATTTTCAATGCATTCTTATAGTAAAATCCACGATTTAATTCATTATAAACTACAAATTAATATATTATATATATATATATATATATATATGATTTAAAAGAATTGGACAAAATTTAAACATTAAAAATTATATTTAATATATATATATATATATATTATTCTATATATCCCTGTTGAAATTCAATGCATTCTTATAGTAAAATCATAATAAAATTATAAAATGGAATATAATTGATTTGAGCATTTCTAATTTAATGCATATATATACATACATAATATATATATATATATATATATATATATATATATATATATATAAATATATACATATATATAAATATGTGTGTGTGTAAAATATGTGTGTGTAGACAATTTTAAAAATATCAATGTCAAACATTTACTAAAATGATGAAGTTCATGCAATGCAATACAAAAAGCTGCCTCTTTTCTGTGTTTCCTCTTTGTTTGCATTCTTTAAAACCTCAATACAATAAATAATACATGTTCGGTCCATGTTTTCTTACCATTCTTATAGTAGAATAAAATTTTTAAATCAGGGTTTCATCTTAATTAACCCACCCAACATTCACTGCCAAAATTAAAAGATATCAAGCAATGCATAAATATAATCTAAAATCTTTATACCAACCAAATTTATATGTCATCGTAATACTGACCAGACTTTTTCTCCAAATTTGTAAATTTCAAATTTAAATCTTTTTGCCATCTCAAATTTTAATTTTTTAATTAAATTTCTGAAGTAAAATTTAAATTTTAAGAAAGAAATTATTTTCCGCACCTGCTTTGATTTAAGTGTCCCCCTTATGTAAATCTGATAAAAATCATTTTTGACTGAATTTGCATTCTTTCTTCTTTTAAAAATGCATAGTCCTTTCTTTTTAAATTAAAATTTACCTTCTGTAGGAGGTTTATAATTTCCTTTTGTTTGAAGAGATATGGATTTATTTTAAACTTCATAAACTACATGAAAAACATTAAAGCTTTTCCTTTGGCTATTTTGAGAAATAATTTTTCATTTTGATTTAATCAAAATATAGGTAAAATAAAA